TCATCGTTCTGCCTATGACGCCTGGCGAACCACTCTCTCGCATCTCCAAACATCGAAGGTCGGATTTCCGTAAGTGCATCCTTACCTCAGGTAGCATCGTCTATCGGTCACGGACCGCGACGTTAAAAAAAATTGGGGGCGGAATCCAGACAGGGATCGCTCGAATCCGATATCTGAATCACCGCTAGGAATACCGAGCGTCAGAGGCGACCAGAGGCCGGCAAGAGGTGACCTGACCTTGAATAGATGAGAAGGCGGACCGAAACAGTTCCTCTGATGGTCCCCTCATCCACCCCATGCATGCATTTCGTGTCCACTAGACCGCGAGAATCGGTTGCTCGTCATAATGGGCGTTCGAACAGAAAAAAAGTAGATATATCTCAACAAATGGAAGAAAGAGTAGCACACCAAGCAGCTCTTGCAAATCAAGATTGCCCACCATGACACCGATTCGCAAGCCGGACGAGTCCACAGGGAGCGGTGAACAACTGTCGATCAGGAAGATCGTCGAGATAGCGGGAGGACTGCCTGGCCCGGATCGTAAGCAAAGACACGCCGAACAGATGCGGGACAAAGGCCACCCATCGTTAGGGGTTTCAACTCGATGACTGGAAGTTGTCTCGCTGAACTCTTCAAACTGAGGAGCAGGAGGTAGCGGCCCGGCTTAGATGGAATGACAACAACTCAAGCCGGGGTCAAATAAGCAATCCATCGAGGGGATAGGGTTTATTGCCAGAACCTAGTCGGAACCAAGCAGGACTATCCTCAATTCTCGAAGAACACAACACATTACATGTTCGTCTGTCGAACATCCGCATCCATGCCCGTCACTTTGTCGGCCGTGATTCTTGGGCATTCATCGTTTTCAAGTCATCAATCAGCTCACTATTCAATGAATCGATTAGTTCACTCGCTTGATCGGCCTTCCTAGAGCGATGGGCGGTCGAGTTCGAATCCCCAAACTCTTGAAGATCGGAAATTGTCATTCTCTCGCCTGTTCAAGCCCATGCGCTCATGCAGCTCTGGACATTGAGCGCGGTGATGCGATCTTCAACGACTGGCGAGGGAGGAATCGAGAAAACGGACTGACGAGCAGGCAGGAGCATAGGAGCGTCGATCACTAGCAGCAGATGCCCGGAAAAGCGTCCAAAGGACCCCTGATACATGATGCCGAACTCGTGATAACTGCCGCTGCGTCCGAAATCGACAGGGATCCCACTCGGGAATCCACAGTACTGAATCCTCTGGAGCCTCGACCGAGATTATCCGAGCTGCGGCAAAGCGTAGAACCTGCTGCCACCAAGCTTACGGCGGCTCGACTTACTCAGCAATGGAGAGGGCATCGTAAAGTTGGCACAAGTCTTTGGTTTCCAAGAAGAATGTATTCATCTGTCGAATGAGCTTCATGGCGCGCGACACGAAGTCCCTCCGCTCCTCATGAGAGGGATCTCCCACGGATCTCTCTCTCCAAACGACATTATCGGGGTATTCGACTTACAATCTGAAAGATGGATCGAAGTCGTATTCCCGCGGAGCTCCATCTCCTCGAGTCCGGATATCGCTGCTTCGATTAGGATATGATCAAGGAATATCGAGGCGATGTTCGGGTCGGGAGACCCAGAGCCTCAGTAAGCGTGTGAGCGTGTTTCAGTCTGCGGCACCGCGGTCCGCTACCCAAGCATGAAATATATCACATCCAGCGACGCCTTGATTATCGTTCCCTGCCACTAAATCGATGCACCAAGTCGAACGGCGACGATCGATAGCGCTTCAACTCACTGACGAAGCAGCGATAGGCAATGCATTCAGCAAACGAACTCGGCTTGCGCGAAGCAACTTATCTCCTTTGCGAAGTTCGAGTTCAACGAGCGCCGCCAGCGTTCATCGGAAGAGTTCGCTCAGTTAGCGCTCAAGTCGCCACCAGTTCAGCTTCAGCGTAATCAGCCGACACAGCTGATGAACCTTTACGCTTATCACCTCGATAACTGTCATCGAAGAGTGTATCACCTGGAACAACCAGGAGTTCCAAACAGAATCGAAACCACCGCAATGTGGGCGGGGATAGGCTCTTTTATTTTGAGCTTCCGTGGAGCTCCCAAGTTTCTCGGCTCCATCTGTGGCTTCGATGCATCCACGCCATCAAAATCATGATTCACGGCTGGTTAACTTAGGTTTCGCAGCAACTCAAGCGAGCTCAGCGGAAAAACACCTCAGTGGATGCAGCCAACCAAGTTGAGGCGACACATGAGTCATGAGACAGTGATGCGCCTTCCTCGCTGAGAGCGCTCTCTTTCGGCATTTTTCCCCGTTTTCCCCAGATTCCTCCCCATTGCCCAGATGCTCCCCAGCGCCAGCACTCGTCAATCTCGTAAACACTTGCAGGCTTTGAGGTGAGTGAATCTACTATCCATCATGCTTTATTCCGAAGGCATCGATGTCATCGTTCGGATGATCGAGCCTCGAGGCTCATCTCCAGCTACGGATGAGCTCTTAGCCGATCCCAGTTCACTTCGACCCATGTTCCTGATCGTTCTCGCCAACTCCTGGCATAAGGAGTAACGCAGCGGAGCGAGAAACACGGAGCTTCCCGACGCTCCATCTCGGTGAACGGTTTGATGTTTCATCCGGTATCATCGAAACTCTTCACGCGGCGCTTCCGTCTGAGTCGTGGATGAAAGAAAAACTCTCACGCAGGAATTAATGATATGTAAACAGATCGACCTTCCCTCTGCTCTATAGTGTGTTCGGCTCGAATTCTGCTCCGCCCACTTCTGCAACCATGTATACTCATGCATGCTCGCATGTATATCTCCATATGTATATATATATATATAATTCATCTATATATGAGAATCTATTTGTCGTTATTGTTGCAGCTGTCACAACGAGACGAATCATCGTCCGACGTCGATCGTTTAAATTCTTGACTGACTGCCTGAACTCAACCACGGACCGTTGCACGATTATCATTGTGATTCCAGCTGATCTCGCCTGGATTCTTGAAATTTGATTGCGGTGAATACTTCTCGGCTACCTTCCAGGCTGCTCCTCGTGTCCAAGGCTCGCCTGAGTGTTGCTTGTATCAATTTGAACTTGAATCAAATACAATTGTGATTGGTGGACAGGATGTATATGTTATGAGAGCTCCGATGTGAGTTTTCTTAGTCTCGCATCTATTCGTAAGGTAAAAAGTGTGTATGACGGTATATTCTTCTCGCCACTATGTTTGTTTGTTGGTTTGTTTCTTGCTTGTATGCATGGATGCTGGAACGATAATTGGCTTTACAGTATCTCAAAAACTATGCCTACAGTTTGTAGATGTTGTAAAGATAGGTAGATAAATCCACATATACAAATAATAGCGATCAGCCATGATGTACTTAACAAAGAGAGCATTCAGGAGGACGAGCAAATCAATGAATGTATGTAGGTAGGTATGTATGTATGTAAGCGATAACAGGCACGAAGGGCGCCAAATTCTGAACACTGCAGTGTTTCCCAAACTTGTTCGCGTACCTCGGCCACCATGATTCGACGTCAACATTCAAAATGCATAGGAAAGTAAAAGTGTCGAACACCCAACAACTGCGGGCAGCGATGGGCAGGATGGCGGAGGTCACGAATGTGAGGACTCATGTCGGCTTCCACACCATCATGGAGATCGAGGAATCGGAGGAAGCATGCTCTTATTGGTGATATGTCACATCCCTTATTTTCATCTTCACCTCCCCTTCCCGCTGTGACCGACCCACGTTGGGGGCCGAAAGAGTCCTCCGAGCAATCCTTATTCCCGTCTCCAAGAGACCGATGTCAAGCTGGCTCGGAAACCAACAGCCTGTCCACCTGTCCCGATCCGCTCTGGATGCCGATGGTGATACCCCCAAAACACGGCCCTCGTAGATTTCTTTCGTTTTTGCTTTTTAATTCATCGTTATAGAGGACGTCGGCAGGTCGACAGGATAGTCCCAAAGATATGATCGGTATACTTGTAAGAAGAATATAATGGTAAACTTTCGACGGCCGTCCCATGGCTGTCTGCATTTGCAACCCATCTTATCCAGCGTTGTCCTAATGACTGTGTACATACATGTAAACCGACAATTGCATATACAAACGCCTCGTGATGTATAATCGTAAATCGAGATAACTGCCGAATTTTTGACAGCAACGGTAGCGACAGCAGCAGCGACGAAGAACAGTGCACTATCACATAAACAGTCAAGGATAGTCCGCTATAAGACTCGAATCAACTGCAAACGTCATTCATACCGAGTCGGATACGTACACTCGGTAGCGATGACGGCATCATCGTTTGGTGGTTCCATCTCACTCGGTGCAAGATTTCTCGGGAGGGGACACGATACCCTTCCCGTCGCTGTCATTGTGCCACGGCTACTACCGTCGCTACCTTCCGTTCTTGCAACTGACCCGAACAACGGTCGCTGTAGAAATTCCGAGTGACGCAGTAAAAACCTGCTCGCCTATACCTATATCTTGTTGTCCCTGTCCCGAAAGGACGAAGAATGCCCCTAGAGACTTCCAGCGGTAGCACTACTCGCCGTCCGGTTCGGCGCAGCGAACATGGAAACGCGCTCTTGACTTATGTGGATTCGTTACGGTATGTATTTGCATGGGGGCGCTTCCCGTCCCGAGCATAATCTCTTCAAGTTCGCCTCGGGTGAGCGTTCAAGAAAAACGTCTGATTGAATGCGGTTCCAGGGAAACGCACACTCGTTTGCTTCGCGTCCTCCCTCCGATCGCTCGAGCTTCTTGTAGCAAGGGAAGCGATCGCAGTTCCTCCATCGGCGCACACAGCAATAAAACGACTTCCTCAATACTTTCTCTGAGTTCCCCCCTCAGGAGCTTCTACGATTCTGTGGCTCTCATATACTGATTCCAACTCTCATCTCGAGAAATGCTCTGAACCAATGACGACGACAGCGCTCCGGAAGATGAGGCACGATCTCCCAACAGGAAGAAAATGACTTTAAAGCCGGATTTCTCAACAATACTCAAAGAGTTTTTAAGATAGGAACTACTACTTGCTCTTATGGACGACCTCAGCGGCTCTTTTCGCTGGCTCTTGGTGACTCGCACGAGATTGCTCGCTGAATTATTATGGAGCTCACTCCGGTTTTATGGACTTCCTTTCTTTGATCTGCTCTTCCCAGTCGAAGACCGAGAGCTGTTTTCAGTTGATGTACAGAGTGTTGAGGATGAGGACGTGATGGTTGTTTTTCGCCAACGTCACAACATATCCTTCAGAGGTGATCTTCAAGCCGCAGCACCTACTTACTTTACAGTACGGACATTCGAATTCGCTGACAGCTTGACCGTCGCGATTGAACACAACAATATGGAACCTGAAAGGAAGGGAGTCGATGAATACCACGCTTTTGCGATATGTATGAGGGAAGGTCCACGAGAATTTCGAACATGCGGGCATTGCGTTCTCCTCACTAACCTGTTCCCATGTGAATCACCCACCAATATATCGCCGTGATCCGATATATCGATTCCGTTGGGGAAATTCGTCAATCCTTCCCCGCCGATTTTTCTCAGATAGTTACCACACTCCGAATAAACCACAACACAGTGTCCTTTGAAGTCGCAAATGTAGAATTCGGATCCCCAAACGGCTATATCAGATGGCTCTCTCATGTGACCACTGCAGTCAAACCACAGCAGAAGATCACCACCTTCGGCTATCACAAAAACGGTTGGTGACACCGAGTCCACGGCAACGATGCGCCCATCGCTGGTCAGCGCGAGTCCCGCGACGATGTCGATGTATCTGCGAATAAGAATATTTTTCTCTCATGGATTCCAATGAATCGAGGATAAGGCTTCAAAATGATGCGGCCGAAGCGATGAGCTCGGAGCACGAAATAGTGTAGGCAGCTCTGAAAACCTTATACACCCAAATGGGGGCGCACTCGAGCTCAAAGCGGAACGGGTTGGTATGCCGTGTCTTGGAAAGTTCGCATATGAGAAACGCAAGTGCGGACTATGGAAACAGGGCGAAAAACCGGAGGCATATGAAGGGGAAACTACGTGTCTCACCTTATAGCAATTTTCTTAATGAATTCGCCGGTTTTCGTGAACAGCTGCATTCGGCTCCGCTCATTCCCTCTGTCGCATATTACATATGTTCCCGTAGATTTGATGACGGCGACCTTCCGAGGATACCAGAGTTGGCCTTCTTCTTTGCCTTGTACACCAAATTCATGCTTGAATTCACCAGCCTTGTCGAAAATCTGTATACGATGATTGTTGGTGTCTGCCACGACGATTTCCTGGTTCGGCCCCAAACAGAAGCCGTGAGGTGAAGAGAATTGCGTTTGACCCGAACCCAATTGCCCGAACTTGATGCGTATGTGCATGGGCGTCATTCGGTTTGTCCGGGTGACGGAACCCTGTGAAATCGGAGCCTGGAGGACCCCTGCAGCCGCGGCGGCTGCAGCAGCGGCGGCCGCCGCCGACGCAGCTGGGACAAGGCTCAGGGAGCCAACTCCGGCTGTAGGGCTACGCTGTCCTCCTGCCGACGTTCCCGAGGTACTAGAGGAGCCAGACGGCTGAGAGACAGTGCCGTTCTCCACGATGAGACCTGAGGGTAGGCCTGTCGGGCTCAAAGCAGGGCCACGCAAGCGCTGCATCGACTGGCTTGGATATGGATTCGCAAGCTTCGCAAGAGCTGACAAGTTATTGATGAGTTGTGCTTCTTCATCGGAGGAAGCCACCGCCGCCGCTGAGGCCATTCGGGAGCTCTCCGGGCCGACGATCATGTGGCCCGGAGTGACAACGTCGCTCACGTTCCCAACCAACAAGGGCAAAACGTCTGGTTCAACATCTGCGTCCACTCCGGCCAAACGAGCGAGGTTCATATGAGCTATAGCTGAGCGTAAATCGTTGAATTGACTCTCCCCAGGCGTCATCGAATCCAGAACGCTATGCGGCCCCGTCGAAGCCACCACGCCGCCGGGCATTTGGTGGCCCACCGGCGACATCAATGCATGTGTATCAAGTTGACCGAAGTGTGACGGAGCCAATGGAGACGAGTTCACCGCATCGACGAGCTCCGCTGGCAGGAGCCGAGCGGCGCTGGTGTTGCTTATCTTTGGTGCCACGGACGCGTTCAGAAGGCTCATATCCATTGGATTCGTAGTTGAAGCGATGTCTAGAGGATCGAGGGTCACAACTTGCCCGAAAAGACCTTTCATGGCAGACTTGAACTTGGCTTCATCTGTGATGAATTTCAGTTCGGCATTTTCCCGACCTTTCGGACACGAATGTACCAATTTCCGAACTCTTGACGTCACCAAAACTTTCAAGGCGAGAAACTCCGCTGCATCACCATATTTCGATAGCTTATCGGCGAATTCGATGGCATGCTCTAGATTGACTCGAGACTCCTGACAGAGCTGAATGTCATCCATGACACGCATCTCTTGCGAAGAATGAACTTTCTCAAGATCTTCTAGAGCAGCTTCTTTCGCCTGTTCCAAAATGCTCTTGAACGTGATGAAAGTTTCCTCAATCGATGATCGAACAGAATCTCTCGTTAGCTGCAGTTCGTTCAAAGATGTCGTCAGAGCTTCATTCGTCTGTAACGAGATGACGAAGGTGAATGTATCAACGCTCATAAGGCTGTCCACTATCGGGAACAGAATGTTATACAAGGGCTCGAGCATGGATGCACGAGCACAAGACACTTTAAGAAAGCCACGTGGACCGATTCTTGCGAGCCATTCCAGGCGATGCGAAGCCGATGTTTCGAAAGCACGACAGACCCTGACGCATATTCTGCATTCGGATGCATGATAGTCGCGCAAACGGGTTGCTATATCCAGGTTGCGAAAAGAGTACTCAATCTGCTGAGAGTATCCTTACTCATACTGGAATTGGTCCAGGCATAAGCTCCCGAGGAAAAAATATTGGGAATGTGCGTCACTCACCTCATCGAACTGACGAAAACTTGTCTTGGCCTCGCTGATGAGAGCGACCAAGTCCGCGCGCTCGGTCGAATCGAATTCGTTCACTTTTTTGCAGCCGTGGCCTTGGTGGCCTGACACCAAACACTCGTTGCACATTGCCTTCAAAAGTGAGATCAGTATTTATATTCCATGTTTGCAGGAAGAGAACTCGTAAAAATCATCGATGCCCGGGGCTGAGAATTCTGCGCGTGGAGAGAGTAACTTTTGCCTGTCGCGACGAATTCTAGTCGCGGGAATCCTACGGGAGGACCAGACTTTTCAAAGCTCTCTGCTGGTGGAAATATTACGATTCTCATGGTGAGAACGACCGAATCCGACCGATGCTTCGCGACCTTGGCCGGAGAACACGCGCACCGGAAATCTCCCGGGAGCCTACTGGATCCACATATGTCTCGAGGCAAATTCATAAGGGTTGAATACATCGCTGAATACAGAGGAGAGCCCAGTATCCTTGATCAGGTAGTCCGCGGGGGAAGGCGTCTCAAACGAGTAGGGCGTCGGAAGATACCGTGGAATCTTCTGCAGGAGCCTCAATGGATCACAATCTAGACGATCTCCCAACCTCGTTCTCTGCTCCGGTTCGAATGACTCATAGGATACCGGAGGGCAGGAATTCGAAGAGCGCCTGTATTTTGCCGAGCTCTTCGAATCGATTACACAGCCCGACAGCCAAAATCTAACAGAAAAGTGGATACCCATTTTAGGGTAAATCGGGGTCGCTGATCACGAATCCGGCGTCAGAAAATCCGAAAAGGCTCTAGTTTTCGAGTTTCAACGGATATACCGAAAAATAAAAATTGTAAAAAAATGTAACTCGCGAAAACCAGAGCCTTTCCGAACATTCTGACGCCGGAT